CCCCACATGCCAGCCCCATCCAACCAGAACACGTACTCGAAGCAGAGCCGAACGTCGTCCTGCTGAACCCCGCCGCCGACGGCGCCGCCGCCAACGCCGCCGGCGGCGTAAAGCTGACGCTGCCGCCGCTGCCGTACAGCCCGCCCTTGCTGCCGGAGGCGCCGCGAGCGGAGCTGCTCGTCCCGGCGGAGCCGCCGCCGCCGCCGCCTGCACCACCGCCGCCGCCGCCGCCGCCGTCGTCAGTGCCCGCTCCCGTGTCGGCGTCGGCGTCAAGGGCGGCGCCGGCGGCGGAAGTTTTCCGTCGCAGAACGACAGCAGCGGCTTCGACGCCACGGCTGATGTCATCGGACTCCCTGGGAGCGAGGAACCGTGGGTCACGATCCCGGCTGCCGTCGTCGGCGGCGGAGCCGCCGCCGCCGCGGCCGCCTTTGCTCGAAAGGCGACTGAGGCGCCGCCGTCGGCGCGTAAGGAGTACGGCACACATCATCAGAGATAGTAACGCCAGAAGTCCCCCTCCACCTGCGCACAGCACACAAGAAGCCATGCTAATGGTACGGTACACCGCATGTGGCTTTTTCAACCCAAGGCTTTGAGCACCGGTGAGCAACAAACGTACCAACCCACACATTCCTCCGCGCATACATGTGATTTGACACATGTCCGCATGCTTTGAAGACAACCATGCTTTGGAGGTTCCGAATTAAACCCCCTGGCCTCGCCAAGGCCGCACCTCCGAGACCCGCTGCTAAGCCAACGGTACGCGCTGAGGGCCCTCCGCTGCCACCTCCGCTGCCACCTTCACCGCCACTCGACTCCAAATCCCTGCCGCGCCAATCCGGGGAGGTGGAGGTGTTTCCCCAGCGGCTTGCAATCTCCTGGAGGAAGAGCAAGCGGAAGACAGGAGACAGGAAAGGGGGATATATCGGTAAGAAGGATTGGATGATGCGCTCCCAGCAGATGCATGAGCGCGGGACCAGATCAAAGACTTGTGGGAGTTGTGGGCGAGGGACGATGTCTGTATACAACAGCACCAGACGGCAACAGCTTGAATAGTCCAGTGCGTTTGAGCACGCGTGTACAGCAGGAAAGATATATAGTAAGGCGACATAGGCATAGCGTCGGAGGTAGCCCTCGCATGGGAGCGGTACGGCATCAACATCCGTATTAAACACGGCGGTACATGTACGGCATCACCAGCTGCGGTACGGCACTGCAATGCGGGGCCCTCACCACCTACCTGTGCGAAACACCGCTCCGCGGGTGTTGTCCTAAGACACGCGGCTTCTACTTGGTTCTCACACACGATTCTGGATCCATTGTAGTACACGTCGTAGCCGCCGCTGTCCCCCAGCACACCATCCGCGGACTTTTATAGGTTTTGAGTGTGGCGCCGAACGTGCCGGATGTGTGCCGTACAACAGGATATTGTTGTTGTGTTTGTCGTACATGGTGGCGGGGGAAAAGCGACTGTTAAACAGTTGTTAAGGACAACATCAAGCGTTGCCTTAATCCCCTTTCCCAGCCAGACAAAGCCCCCCTGCGCCCCCACGACTGTCCCCCAGCACCACACCCATCCCTTTCCCGATACATACCGCCTTACTTGCACCCGATGGATCGCTCACGCACCCCGCTTCCTCTCCGTTCGCTCTCCCCCTTCTCCCTCCTCATCCCCGCCCACACCTATGGTTTGGTCATCACAACCCCCTGCCGCACCCCGCTTGCTCACCGTCACTGTCACCGCCAGCGACCGTGCCTCCAGCGCCTCCTTCTTGCAGGTGCTGAGGAGCGCAGAGGTGGTCCAACACACCTCGGTGTTGTTGCGGAGAGCCACATCACGGGGGCCCTGCCAGGGCAGTACGACAATATGACCGTACGGCGGTAAGGCAGAACGGAAACGATAAACGGTATGAGGTTTGAGCGGATGGCGGCGGGTAGACCTTTGGAGAACGCAGCCGAGGTGCCGAGGTGCAGGCGTGTGTGGGTGGGATTTGCTCAGGGGCACACCCGTGCAAAGGGAGCATGAGTCTCGGAAAGCAGATCACCGTGCGCATGCCTGGCAGCATGCCTGCAGCCTCAGCAGCCCTGGATTAATGCCAAGCAGTGGCGGTGACAGCAACTGACCCTATGTAGAAGCATTTCGCGGCTCAGCCAATTCACCCGCCCAACAACACCCCGCCCTTCTCCCTTGCCTGCTGCCGGACTAGCTCAGGGTCGCTGGCGGGCGGCAGCGACAGTATCTGCGCCAGGGCCAGCGGAAAGTTGACACACACGGGCCGCCGCTGAATGCAGTCCTGGAGGGCAACCACACCGCCCTCGCTCTTTCCCATGAAGTCAAGAGCCTGGCCCACGTGGTTGAGAGCCTGTGGGTGGAAGGAAGGTAAGGTTGTACTGCAGGTAGATGACGAAAGGGCTGATGGCGGGCGGTGTACGGCAGATGGATGCACGAGGGTGTACGGCATAAGCAAGTTTGCTGTCTGGTGAAGGGCATGCAGCTAGGGCGGCCCAACCGACCTTGAAAACCTCCAGCTTCCGAAAGGTCAACCTCACGCCGCGTCGAAGCCGTACAACCGCCGACACAAAGTTGAAGTTCAAACGCGTGTAGCCGCCTTCGCTGGTTCCCACAACCGTCAGATTGGACGTGAGCAGCGGAGCGCGCATGCCAATGCCCAGCGCCTCCGCCGCAGCGGCTGCGGCTTCTGGGTCGGAGGAATCTGCCAGGGTGCTGTAGATGTCATGGTCTGCGGCCGCCGTCGCGGCGTCGTGGGCGAAGAGCGTGATGTCGCGGGTGATGCGGATTTCCGAAACGTTGGGTGTGTACAGCAACTGGAAGAACTCCAGGGACGTTCCTGCATGCATGGGGTGCATGATCCAGCAAAAAATGGGCAGTGAGAAAGGGATATTAAAGTGTATGTGTATAAGTCAGCAATCGCACCCGAATTGAATCGCTAATGTTATACCATGGCACGGACCTCACCTGCTGATCCGAGAACAGGCCCCGTGGGCGGCGGCGGAGTTGCTTGGGACAGCAGTTGCGGCTGTTGCAACGGCAAGGGCTGTACTTGCTTCAACAAGCGCTTGCATGGGCTCCTGGCTTCCACTGCAGACCGGGGTGATAGGAGCTCGCAGGCCGCCAGTAGGAGCAACATCCACCGGGTCAGCAGGAACGGCTGTGGCAGCCGTTTCGCAGCGGTCAACAGGAGCGACCTAGCTGCAGTCGCCGCAGTTCCCGAGCTCCTTGGAACAGCAGCGCTTACTGCTCTTGCTGAAAGAGTGGAACAAGCAGCTGTTGCAACTCTTGAGGCTGCGGTTGTAGAATGAAAGATGGCAGGACGACCCTCGTTCGCTGGAGGAGGCCTGCCATGCTTGGCAAGCTCATCCTTGAAGAGCATTGCGATGCGTTGTCAGCCTGCTTCTTGCTATTTGAAGCAGGCTTCTCGCTTACGCGTTCTGTGCTCCAAACGACCCGCAACTTCAACGGGTCCGAGTTCGCCCAGATCAAAAGGGCTTGTAGCACGTGCGATACGGCGCAAGTCTAATCAGAAATTCTAAAGTGAACTGTAGTGGCAAAGTCTCAATTTCAGCGGTGACATGCCTCTAGCTATGTTATTGCCTGGCCCGTGGGCCAGAAGCCAAGCGCACCACAGCAGGAGCATTTCCAAGGCTTAAGAGAAACGTATTGTCATTGTTGTTTGTGCAGAAAGTGTAGTATAATCAATAGGTAGGGTTCGCTCACGAGAGGGTATGGTGTCGGTGTTGCGGCAACCGCTGCTGCCGTGCTGTTTCCAAAGCTCGCCTATCAGTAGTCGGGGTAATTCTGCGCATACAAACCCAGTCTTATTGGGGAATGCTCGATGTGCTTGTGGCGTCCTACAGGCCGTGATGGCTCCCAAGGTTTAGGTCGCTTAGGTAATGGATGCCGTGTTGAGCGATTTGCTGCACGAATTGTCAAGTAACTCCCAATACGAGGAGTTCTATTTCGACGTAGCATTACTGTCATATTCTGTGCTTATAACCGCATCGTCCCGTCGTTCGTATCGTAGTCGGATAATGACCAGCAGGTCACCAGCTCCAAGAGCCCTAAAAGATAGCTTACATGTGCGTTTGTGTGGCGACTTTGCTGTATAAAGCCGTCAATGCGATGGGTGCGTAGTTCGTGGGCAAAGGTTACACGAAATCATATGCGGGTTTCCTAAGCTAGTCCAGACGTATGATCCACCTCGAAGCCCGCGGCTCCACCGTCGGGCGGTGGAGCCCTCGGCGCGAAGCAATTTTTAGTGGGCGATCCCTCCCCCACCCACGCTTCCACCCAGCGCCCCTCCCACACGCGATTCCAAGACCAGCTCCATCTAGATGTCACTCGATATGCCATGTAACTGCCGCAAAGGCGACCTGCTGTGTACGGCCCCATGTTGCTTTGCTACATGGTCCCTTTCACGGTGCTCTAACCCTGTAATGTGTGCCTGCTTCACCCACGCTGCGAGTCATGCAGCCAGCACGCCGCATACATCCCAACAGTTGACATGCAAGGGCATCCTAATATCAAACAATGGCAATGCATGTGGTCCTATGGTTGCGTTAATAGCGAGCAAGCGTAAGAACGAGCAAATACGATATACTGATACCTCAACTGTGCATATGTACCCAACCTGGCTCGCATCGAAGGGCAAGGCGGTTGTCAAAACGTCCGCTATCAATGGAACGCGCCTTTCTTGTTACTGTACACAACAGGCTATGTCCATGTCAGCAATAACTCCAGCTCCACTGCCTCAGCCATCGAGGTAAGCCTCTCGCGCCGCAGCCAACACGTCCTCCACCCGAATGATAGCCAAAGGTCGCGGCAACTGCCACGGCTGTAGCAGCTGAGGCGGCGACAACGCCGGTCGCTTGCTGCCCCCGCCACCGCTACTGCCACCACCGCTGCCCCCATCACACCCAGCGGTTCCAGCGCTACGTCCCATTACCGCCCCCTGCCCCTCGCCGCCCCTCCCCTCCCCAGCGCCCTCAACGCTACACGCCCCCGGCTGCGCTTGCCGTTGCTCACCCGGCGGTTGTGGTTGCGGCGGCGGCGCCGTCCTCCCATGCAGGGCCACTCGCACGAAGCCCCAGCCCATGACAGCTGCCGCGCGCTGCTCTTCTGCGCCGTCACCAACAGCGACGTAGGCGGAGTTGGGGCCGAAGCGGGAGCATAGGGCCCGGAAGCAAGCTAGCTTGGGACGGCCGCTGGCGCTGTAGACATCCTGCGCAGCGGGGCGGGGCGAGGAGACGTGAGATGGAGAGGCAGGACGCAGGGCTAAGAAGGATGGGGTCCAGGCATGGTGCTTTCGTCTTTCCCCCGTCAACGCGCATCTACCCACCCACCCGAATGTCCTACCCACCCACCCGAATGTCGAAATGCTCGTCCAAGCCCCACAGCAGCAGCTTCCCCAACGTCGCCACCAGATGCCCAGCCGATACAAGCACGTGCCGTACTCGGCGAAAGGTAACCTCCGCCGCCGCCGGCGGCGCTCCACCTTCCGCTGACGCCGCCGCCGCTGACGTCACCTCCGTCAGGAGTCGCCGCGCCGCCGCCACCCAGCCGCCCGTCAGCTCCTCCGCCTCCGCCAGCGCTTCGGCAAGCTTACTGCAGCCTGCCGTACCCAACACATCAGACAGCCCGTCGGCGCCGCTGCTGTACACTCGCGCGATCCGTTCCAGTGTTGAACGCTTCGGTACGATAGCAGCGGCGGTGCTGGTGTTGCAGATGGCGGGGTTGGCGGTGTTGTCGCGGGTGGTAGCGCTAGCGTCGGTAGCGGGTTGCTGGCCTGACGAGGCAGAGGAGGTGCAGGCCTGGGACCAGAGCTCTGCAAAATTGAGGGGGTCTAGCCCGTCCAACTGCGGCAGGGTTGAAAGGAGGACGGGCCGGGTGTAAAGTTTGCGGGAAAGACATGGAGTGGTAGGAGGTAGAAATGTCAGTTGATTGCGACCAGGTTAAGGCAGTAGCATCCAGTAAAGTATGGATCCAGCAACGTTTCATAACTCCATGACGCGGTTTAAATTTGGTGGATGGCATGCTGCAACAGCAGCATCATGCATCATGCAACGTTGGTGGTGCACCAACGCCCACGACCCAACGGCCTGAGCAATGATGCGGCAAGGGTCATGCGCGCGCAAATTACAACACAATGCGCATTCGCAAGCCCCATACAGGACCGGTAACGTAAGCGTATTCACGTGACACCAGTCCCATCGCATCGCTTCTCACCGCTCTAAAATCCATGTGGTCATCGCAAAAGTCAAACACTAAATCCGCAAGCCGTTGCCCTAATAACTCCGCCCGGCGCTGCAAGGACGTCGCCGCTGCCGCCGCCGCCGCCAGGCCCTCCCCGCCGCCAGCAACACCGCTGCCAGCCTCATTGCTAACGCCGCCGTCGCGGGTTACAGTTGCAGCAGCCGCGGGAGCCACCCGAGCTGCAGCGGCGGCGGCAGCGGCGCTGTCCGCAGGCCCGCGACCATGCGCCGCCGCTGCCGCACGAGCATAAGCCCCACTTAGCAGCGAGTTGAAGATGATGAGCGTCTCATCGAGATCCCAAACCACAATGAGATCTACGGCTGAGGACGATGATGCTGCCGTCGGGGTGGGTGCTGTTGCTGCTGCCACCGTCACCGTCACCGTCGTGGTTGCTGTCTTGCGCGCGGACGTTGTTGGCAGTAGTGGTGGCGGCTGCGGGTGTGCGTGTTGTTGCGGAGCTGTCGGTGCTGCCGGCGTGCCGCGCGTTACTGCTGTTGACGCCACTGCCCCCGCCTGCTGCGGAGCCTCGGCAGCGCCCTGCTCCTGATGCTGCAGCTGTTCCTGTCCTTGGGCTGTCCATCTGCGCTTACTGCTGTTTTCCCCCACCGTGCCTTCAGCTGCCCGATGCTGTCCTCCCTCCCTCTGCTGTGTAATGCTGCTAGCGCTTGCAGCATTTGCAGCAGTAGCAGCTGTATGTACGGCGACGTTGTCGCCGCCTGGTACGGCAATTGATGACGCAGCGCCGGAGGCGGCGGTAGCAGAGTACGGCATTGAGGCAGTGTACGGCACCGAGCCGCTGCTGGTAGAGCATGCGTTGCCGGGGTTTGGGGCGTCGTACGGAGCACCGCTGGTTCCATAGGCATGGTAACTCTGCCATGCGTAATTCTGCTGCTGTTGTTGTTGCTGCTGTTGTTGATGCTGCTGTTGTTGATGCTGGTGGTAGTACTGATAGTGCGTTTGCTGGTAATGATCCTGGAAGGGCTTCTGCTGCTGATGGTGGTGTTGTGGGTATTGAGCCCCGTAGTACTGATGGTGCTGGTGGTACTGGTACGGGTGCTGGGGCTGTTGATGGTACCCGTAATCCTGCTGAGATCCATGTTGTGATTGATATGGGTAGCTGGTACCGTAGCCATGGTAGTTGTACGAGTAGGGCTGTTGGTATGCACCAGGCGCTGAGGCCGCAATCTGCTGCTGCTGCTGCTGCTGCTGTTGCGGAGCCCAATTGGTGTTGTTTGGAGCGTAGCCCCATTGAGGCGGATGCTGGGAATGACTATGGGAGGTGCTCACATGAGCCTGTTGCTGCACAGGGTTGGGATACATGGGAGAGGCGCTGGGCAGCCCTTGCGTTGTTTGCAGCTGGCCTGGATGCTGTGCCGACCCTGGGCCGCTGTCATACGCCGACTGAGGCATTGCGCCTGTTGCCTCGAGGAACGCCGAGGATCCGTGAACAGCCTTTCCACGCTCCACATGACTTGCTTCCGCTGTGCCTGATGAAGTCGTGCAGTTGACGGTCTGCATGGGTAAGCATCCAGGCAACCCAGCTACCTAGACTTGGCTTCGCGGCTTGCGCTGGTTTTCTAAGCAGGTCAATGCTTTCGGCATATGCCAAAGGATGTGTAAGAACGCTGTACTAAGTCAGTGATACTAGAGTAGTGTCAAGCTGTGCCACGAAGGGTTCGAAGAAAGCGACGGAACGCGTTCGCTACGAGACGAAAAAGCAATGAAGTATGAGTTTGTTCCAAGAGTGAGCGTTCCTAAGCAGGAATAGCGGCATACTGAATAGGGTTGGTCGGGCTCCGAAGCACAACATTCGGCTTCCGACGGGCCGAAGTTAAGGTGCAAGCGCCAAAGAAATGTCAAAGTGGAGTGCGAGGCCACTCACACGTATCTTACTACAGCACTGCCAAAGCGCGCTTACAAGCACTTAACTGGCCTGTCAATCCCACCAGCCATTGGCCGCAGTTGGCTTGGATTGTATTCGCTGTTCCTCCAACTTATCATTTGGCAATGCGTGTATAGTAACCTCGCATTTGGCGGCGGTTACTGTTTTGTTTCGTTGCGCTGCCGTGAGTAAAAGCCTCCGAACGAGCTAGAAAGCGGTAATCGGCGCAAATGGGCACTGGGCGTGATAAGCGCAAGAAGGCTAAGGAGCGGAAGGACGGGCCGGTCGTAGGCACAGGTGAGCATCCCTGCCCATCGTTGCCACCCGCCGCCGCCACCAAAGCCAACCTGTTGCCTAGCGTCTCGCGCTGTCGCAATTATGCCAGCGGACAGTGTTTGGAGCGCGCTGCCCGGTGGTGCGGTTGTCAGTGTCTTGCGCCTCAGTTGGCGTGCGAGGGAAAGGGGTTGGGACGGCATCAGAGGTCGTCTCCTATCTGCGGGACGTGACCACGCCTGTGCGACTCAGCCATGCACAGTGGTAGCACTTCTGTTTTCCCCTTACAACAGCAAAACCCGCGTTGTGGTGGCAGTTACTCCATTGCAGCCCAGACCAGAGGAGCGCATGTCATACCCTTGCCCCCCGTTTCCAATTGCGTTTTCCTGGCTTACCATCGCCCCGCATCCCCTGCCGCCACGTGACTACACTTTTCCCCTTATCTTCCACCTTTGCGCCAGGCGCCATCAAGACGGAGAAGAAGGCCGCCAAGAACGAGGCCAAAAAAGAGCGCAGAGCGGAGAAGCGACTGGAGGGTAGGTGCGCCCTTTCCCAGGGCCCCATACCTACTGTACGTATTCCTTGTCCAAATCGCCGTTTACCCGCTTTTGCGCCTTCAGCTCTGCCTAGTCCACGTAGCTTACGTACCTGCATCTCACCCTGCCTTGCACCAACCCCGCATACGTACATATGGTTCCCCCCCAGCACCTTTACATGTCGACATGAGTGTTATCTGTTATGATAATCCGTAACCCAAAACCCCCCCGTCAGGAGATGAGGATGACATTGACGCCCTGCTTCAGCGGATAGCGCTGGAGGAGCGGCAGCGCAAGGGCGCGGTGGCGGTGGCGGACTGTGACCCGCCCGGCCCACGGGTCAGCGCGTCCTTTGTGCCGTACATCACACCGGTGAGTGACGTACGTTGCAGCGGTGAGTGTCGTACGTCACACCGGTGAATGCCGTACGTTGCAGCTGTAAGTCATCACATTCCCATTGCAAGTGGAAGCGGTGGCAGTGACCAACTTGCCACGCGTCATTGCGGCGTAACCGCATGCCCGCTCCCCTCTCACTAACCCCCACTTCCCTGCGTCATTACCCCTCCCCAGCGCGGCTCCTTCGTGTTTTTGTTCGGAGGGGAGTACGCTGACGTGGCAACCGACAAGGTGCACGTCTACAAGGACCTCTTCAGGTGTGCCCATAGGGCTTGCAGCGTGCAGCAGCGCCGGTATCTACTGCCGCCCGGTCAGGCCTGCTTTAGTGCGTCATTTCCCATGCGTTGGAGGAACCCCACCCATAAGCCACATCCGCTTGCCCACTGCCGTTAAGCGCACGCGGGTTGCCAACCTCCAATGTGCGCGACGCACGGATTCCCTTCCATCCACGTTGCACCGTTGAACCGCGACGCCCCTCCCCTCTTCACTTCTCGCCCTCTTCCTCCTTCCTCTCACCCCTCTTGCTCCGTCCCACTTCTCCCTCCTCCCCACGACAGGTTTGACGTGGACAAGCGCCGCTGGGCGCGTATCGACTCGCCCAACGGCCCGCCGCCCCGCTCCGCACACCAGGCGGTGGTGGTGAAGAACACCATGCTGGTGTTTGGCGGCGAGTTCACCTCACCCAACCAGGAGAGGTTCCACCACTACAAGGCGAGTGCGGGGGTGCGGGATGCGCGGCCATGCTGGAAGGGGTCGGGGTGGGATTGGGGTGGGATTGGGTGGGTGAGGTGGGGTGCGGGTGGGGGTGGTATCGGGAAACGCAACTAAGAGGACTAGGCAGACCAAGCCGCCGAACCCTACCGGATGGGTTGGAGAGAGGGTGAAACGTCCTGGAGGGCTCTTGTCTGTGTGAGAGGGGCGCTGGGGTGGGGCAGGAGTCCTGCAACCCTGGCTGGAGCGTCATCCCCAGTTCCCCACCAATGCAATGCATGGAACATACCGGATATAGTTGGTGACAGCTCCCAAGGCCCTCTTTCTGTTAACTGATGTCCTTTTTCGTAACGGACCATGCCATCTCCTGCCGCCTCCCTCCTCCTCCTCTGCTCTCCTCCTCCCATCAGGACCTCTGGCGTCTTGACCTGACCACCTGGGAGTGGGACTGCCTGCCCAGCAAGGGCGGCCCCTCGGCGCGCTCCGGACACCGCATGGTGCTGCAGCCGCTCAAGAACCGGCTGCTGCTGTTTGGCGGCTTCTACGACACCGGCAGGGACGTCAAGTAGGTTAAGCCAAGGGAAATGGGGTTGCGGAAGGCGGGGTGGAGAGGGCGGAATTGGGACGGGCGGGCGGGCGGGCTACAAGGCCGGCCGGGACGTCAAGTAGGTTCAAAAGGGGCTGTGGGAAGCAGTGTGGGGCGAACGGGGAAAGTCGAGGAAGCAGTGGCATGCAGGTGGTTTTCCGCATCTACTACCCCGACCTAACCTACCTTTCAACCCAACCGAACCTAACGGCTAACTGCGCCCGTTTGTACTACAGGTACTACAACGACCTCTGGGAGCTCAATTTGGAGACCATGAAGTGGACCAGCCTGGGTGTAGGGCCCGCGGGGAACGCAGGCGCGGGTGCGCCCTGGCCCTCCCCCCGCAGCGGCTGCGGCCTGGCGGTGGTTGGAGACACGCTGTGGGTGTTTGGGGGCTACTCCAAGGTAGGGGGGTTAGATAAACTGAGCCGCGGAAACACTGGGGGGTGGGAGGCCAGTGTGGGGCCGGGGATGGAGGGGTGGAAGCATGGGCGGTTGGAGTTGCAAACCCCCGGGACGGATGGATGGGCAGGTAAGTGGTGGGGGTGATGCAGCAGTGGTTTTGGAGTTAAGCCGCCATGTTATGGCGTAGGCATATTCCAAGGCAACGTCTGGCTGACCCCGTGGGTCATGTTGACTGGAACCATTACCTATCGGGATGGATGGATGGCTGTCTTCTTTACGAGGCGTACGACAGGCGGAAGTATGTGCAGCTTTTGTTAGACTTTTTGTTATTGTCGTCCTCCGAAACCATCAGCTCTGAATCCGTCTTGCTTCTGTTGCGATGCACGACAGGCAAAGGATGAGGAAGACGAGGAGCTGGAGCACGGGAAGACCATGGACGACGTTTGGGCTTGCAACCTCACGACCTACACGGTAAGCGACTGATGTGATTCACTCTATCTTAGCCTAAGAACTACAAAAATATTTACTTGCCCGGAAACAAAGGGATTACATGCGACAGTTTTCATGGGCACGCGGGCATTAAAACACCGCTGTCGCCACGGTCCCCACAGGTCACACCCTGCTTCCAACCCCTCTGTGAATGCGTAGCAGGTACCCCTCGGGCGATGTTCTCCCTGTTAAGTTGCACTTGAAATTGCTTTCCTTTTCCCCTACGCTTCCGCCTCAGTGGGAGCGTGTGAAGAAGGTGGGCATGGCGCCTGGGGCGCGCGCCTCCTTCTCCATAGCCGTCCATTCGCACCCCAAGGCGGGGCCGCGGGCCTTCCTCTTTGGAGGCGTTTCGGATAACGAAGCCAAGGTAACAACCCCGCGACCCCTTTTTCCTAACTTGCGTGCTCCGAGTGCAAGTACCCGCTTGCGTTTTGTATAGGTATAATAGCATGTGTCTCCATCCATCATTACTATGACTCATGCTGCACGGTACTGTGCTTAGCAGTGAATGGCGCGACATGAGCTGCAGCCCTGTCTGGCTTCTTTGCTGCCCGTTCATGCATTGCTTCACTCCTTGCGCCGAGTCGAATAGGAGACTTGGCATGCGCACCCGTAGCTAGGTTTAAAAATCTAGTGCAAATGACTTTTCGCTTACGTTTGCGCCCCTCTTGGCTTCACGTCACGGTACGGGGAACACACCTCTGCCACCCAGCGATGTGACGGTGATCCCTTCTACTGCCACCCGGCGATGTGATGATGATCCCTCAGGGCGGCGAGGACTTGTCCTCCGAGTTCCACAACGACCTCTACACCTTCAACTTTGAGCGGCGGCGCTGGTTTGCTGCGGAGCTGCGGCCTCCTGCGGACAAGAAGGGCGCTGCGGAGAAGAAGGGCTCGGCAGCGGCAGGTATGTTGAAACTGACTGGTGTACTGTTTGGGTCTCTAAAGTGTTATCTGGGCAGCAGCGCACAAGGTGCCAATTGGGAGGGCCAGGGGTTTAGGTCGCGGGAGTTGGCTGGCTCTTTTGGTCCGGTTGGTTTTGTTGTGGCGCTGTAACAGTCTGCCTTGCACTTGCAAAACCTACCAGTTGTGGATGAGCCACCTGCGTACATGGGTAGCGTGTAAGTCTCGGTCCTCCACTCTTCCTATGTCCCTAAATTGCGTCTTGCCTTGCGTGCTGCCGCAGCCGACGTGTCATCCAATCCCGCCGCCGGTGAGGCCGGCAGCAGCAGCGCCGTCTCTTCTGCCGCGCCCGTTATTTCGCCCGGCATGGCCGAGCGGTTGGCTGCTGCAACGGACAAGAACAGCGCCCTGTACCGTGCAGCCGTTAAGATCCAGGCCAGGTAGGCAGGATGAATTGAGGGATACTGAAAGAGAAGGAACCCATGGTGGGCAAAACGATTGAAGTACGGTTGAGGTCTAGCGCTTTAGGGTCCACAAAAGTATTGAGGGGATCTAGTCAAAGATCCGGCACCTGACCGGCAGATATTCGCGTTGCACCGTTTGATTTTAGTGTTGTTGACGGGTCCCCGGTTCCACAGCTACTTCGCCTGTGTAAGAAGATATTCCGTAGCAGCACTGCCAGCGATATACACGAACAGTAATTGTTACTCGACGTACGACGGGCACCTGGACGCGCGGATGACTTGAAGGACGCATGAAGAGCGCTAGTTACGAGTGTTATTCATAGCCCGCGGTATATACCGGTAGCAGCCCTATTACCGGTAATGTACACTTTACCTGCTCTATGTGCTGACATTTTCGTCGTACCATTGGCCGCAGCTACCGCGGGTACGTGGTCCGGAAGGCGTACCAGCTGTACCGCATCGGCGGCGTGGTTTCGGAGATCCTCTACTCACCCGCCACATATGGACTCGACCTCTCCGTGCTTAACATGCCCAAACCAAAGGCGCGCATCGGAGCTCTGGTAAGTCCGCTCAGCAGCCATTTTTACGTCGATCCCAGTTTCCGTGTAAGGCATCTACAAAAAGGCGCTGGAAGCATAGTGCATGCGCCAAATCTGCAAGATTCTTGACGACCACGCATCGACACATAACGTTAGCACGTCTGCTTTGCCCTCGCATTATCGTTCACAGGTTTTCCTTATCAAAACCTACAACCACCGTCACAAGCAGCAATAGTTTGTGGTTTGCAATGGCTACACATACCCGCCCGCTTCCACCATTGCTAAATGCCGCTTATTTTGGTGTTTCGTCCTCCACGGTATGCAACAGGTTACGGTCGTGGGTAGCACACTATGGATGCTTGGGGGCACCGTGGAGGTGAGTACCGTAACCAAGAGAACAACAAGAAACGCACCGGCCCCAATTTGACCCGTGGGTCAGATGTGGTACGAAGGGCGGTGGTAGTACCTGCTGGCTTGAAGCTAGCACAAGGCGAAGCGTGAATTCATGTAAAAAGTGTCCCCGCTAGACGATCGCCCTGTCCTTATGACGCTGGCTCCTAAACCTGCTAAAATGAACGTGCCCGACAGGTGGGGTCCAAAGAAGTTACGCTGGACGACATGTGGGCTTTGGACGTCGGCAAGCTGGATGGGTGGCAGCTGGTTCGGGAGAACACAGTGGGTGAGGAGCTGCTCAAGAAGGCCGGCGCTGGGGGCGACGACAGCGACAGCGAGTGGACAGAGGCCAGCGACGGCGACCTAGATGATGACGACAGCTGAGACGCTTGGAGTTAGTCAAGGGCTCAGCATGTGCCGTGGTTGGCTGACTTTCTGGCTCATGGAAGCATTTTGTTTGCGTCATATCGGAAGGCAACATGATTGTCTGCTTGTTGAAGGATGCCACATCTTGCAAATTATGCCGTCAATTAGTCCCGGAAGATAGGATTGAATTTGACTGAAGTAGGATTGGAGTGCCTGCTGCGTGCAGCATTGGTTCCCCCACAGCGTCCTCCGTAGTGTGACCGCGCACAGGGTTAGGGTGAGGTTGAAGTGGAACATGAAGGCTCAGCAGCACCATTGAACACTGGCTATACCTGGACTCTCTGGAATACCTGTCCGAGGCTTGGGTCCCGCTTTTGAATGTGCTGGCAGACCTCCTGGGGCCGCTTTGCCGCCTCTTCGAACAGCCTACCCAGGCAAGTCGGCCGTTTACCTAACATACGTTACAGCACCCAGTGTGCACCTATGGCCTGCTTGGCATGCCTTGGCATGTTGCCTCCTGCCGTTGGGTCGCCGTACACCAGCCTCAGCTGTGGGCGCGCGAACACCTGACGGTTGTCCATGCTTTTGCGTCCAGCGCATGTGCTCCTCCCTATCCCTCCAAGCTCAGTAGCACCCGCCGTGGCAGCACCATCACCATCGCCGCCTTTGGAGGAGGAGCGAAGGTTGTGTCATCACCGCAGTGGTAGAGCTGTTCCACATTGGGCTACCCAGTAGCGTCCTCCGTGCGTAGTGTGACCATGCAGGATGTGTGGAGCTGAGGTTGGAGTGCAATGTGAAGGCTACGCCTTTTTATCATACCCGTGTCTGTCAACAGTGTGATTGAACCCTGGCTGGTTTGGTTAACACCTCTTCCGCATGCCGTATGTGCTGACACCAAGGCGGGTATAGCCTGGACAAGCACACCCTTGCATGTTGGCACCTTGTGTTCCTTGAGAATGTCTAATTTGACGTAAAACACGAGGCGTGGGCCCTATGCTTTGTGTCGTACAGGGGCTCGTAGCCTTTATGTAGCGTGCCAAGTCCTTCCTTGACAAGGACCCAAGCCAGCGGATTTAGCTCAGTTGGGAGAGCGCTAGACTGAAGATCTAGAGGTCGCTAGTTCGATCCTGACAATTCGCAGGCTGCCAGCCTTCCTTGGAGGAGGAATACCTGTCCAAGGCTTGGGTCCCGCTTTTGCACCGCCCGGAGTGCTTGCGGTCCTTTTGCAGACCTCCTGGGGCCGTCTTGCCGCCTCTTCCAACGGCCTACGCAAAGGCGGCCAACCAAAAGGCGCAATATTGCAGCATATTAATAGGTTGCAACACAGACGGCAGCTTGCACCATAAAACAGGGCTACAGGGAATGCGGTGCGCCTATGCACCACGGGGACATGTCGACACCCCGCAGGAACATATATAACATGCCAACATACCGCACACAAACGGTGTCGGCACACCGAAGGAACATGTCATCATGCCGCAGGATCATGTTGACCGACCACAGGCACACCTCGACAGAAAGACAGAGGTGCAGTGCTTCAATCTAACACATGCATGCACCAGCATTGACACACTAGCCTTAACGATAACGCCGGCAGCAGGCTTGTATGCATGCATGTACATACTGCATGAAGGCGGGGGCCGGGTCTTACTGTGCCAGCAGCCAGTTTGGGGCGGCAGGGCGCATGGTGCTTGCTATGTGGTGCAGATCCACACGTGCGCCATGCTAGCGTGCATCTACAGCTCGGTGTGGGTGCACGTAACCATCCATGCATGAAACCACACGCATACACGCACATTCACGCGTGTATATGCGCGCGCGTGTCGCACTGCAGCGCAAGGAAAACACATACCCCCCGGGAGGGTTGCATGGACTTCCAGGCAGCCTGTATGTGTTGATGCCTTGGTTGAACTTGGAGCTTGTGTGCATGTTTTGGAAACAAGATATGTGCTTGCTTGTGTAGACGTTGGAAGGGTAGATTATTGGATGTGCTTTCTGGCCATGGCCACATCACCCAAGTGCCCTCCCTTCTTGATTGCCTGGCATCTCAACCAAGGATCACGCGCCTTGCCGTCACCGGTTAGCCAACACGTGCACACTCGTCGGGTGATTTAGAGTACCAGCCAAAGTGGACGTGGTCGATCGCCGTGCTACGAGGTTCGTTCGCAGGAGGGGAAATTGAGCGGCTTGCAGGTAGGTGGGGAAAGAATGGCCAGTAGTACAGAGGGGTTGGGGAAGAGGTGAGATTTGTTCAATGCTGGGCATGCCGCCGGGCACGTATGTTCTTGTATTATTGGATAGTCGCGTAGAGGGTAGCCCCCAAGCCAGGAACATGGCGTAACGGCGGGGGCCGTCTGGACGGGTGAATCACAGTAGCTGGACTGCCAGGCAAGTCGGCCGTTTACCTAACATACGTTACAGCACCCAGTGTGCACCTATGGCCTGCTTGGCATGCCTTGGCATGTTGCCTCCTGCCGTTGGGTCGCCGTACACCAGCCTCAGCTGTGGGCGCGCGAACACCTGACGGTTGTCCATGCTTTTGCGTCCAGCGCATGTGCTCCTCCCTATCCCTCCAAGCTCAGTAGCACCCGCCGTGGCAGCACCATCACCATCGCCGCCTTTGGAGGAGGAGCGAAGGTTGTGTCATCACCGCAGTGGTAGAGCTGTTCCACATTGGGCTACCCAGTAGCGTCCTCCGTGCGTAGTGTGACCATGCAGGATGTGTGGAGCTGAGGTTGGAGTGCAATGTGAAGGCTACGGCTTTTTATCATACCCGTGTCTGTCAACAGTGTGATTGAACCCTGGCTGGTTTGGTTAACACCTCTTCCGCATGCCGTATGTGCTGACACCAAGGCGGGTATAGCCTGGACAAGCACACCCTTGCATGTTGGCACCTTGTGTTCCTTGAGAATGTCTAATTTGACGTAAAACACGAGGCGTGGGCCCTATGCTTTGTGTCGTACAGGGGCTCGTAGCCTTTATGTAGCGTGCCAAATCCTTCCTTGACAAGGACCCAAGCCAGCGGATTTAGCTCAGTTGGGAGAGCGCTAGACTGAAGATCTAGAGGTCGCTAGTTCGATCCTGACAATTCGCAGGCTGCCAGCCTTCCTTGGAGGAGGAATACCTGTCCAAGGCTTGGGTCCCGCTTTTGCACCGCCCGGAGTGCTTGCGGTCCTTTTGCAGACCTCCTGGGGCCGTCTTGCCGCCTCTTCCAACGGCCTACGCAAAGGCGGCCAACCAAAAGGCGCAATATTGCAGCATATTAATAGGTTGCAACACAGACGGCAGCTTGCACCATAAAACAGGGCTACAGGGAATGCGGTGCGCCTATGCACCACGGGGACATGTCGACACCCCGCAGGAACATATATAACATGCCAACATACCGCACACAAACGGTGTCGGCACACCGAAGGAACATGTCATCATGCCGCAGGATCATGTTGACCGACCACAGGCACACCTCGACAGAAAGACAGAGGTGCAGTGCTTCAATCTAACACATGCATGCACCAGCATTGACACACTAGCCTTAACGATAACGCCGGCAGCAGGCTTGTATGCATGCATGTACATACTGCATGAAGGCGGGGGCCGGGTCTTACTGTGCCAGCAGCCAGTTTGGGGCGGGAGGGCGCATGGTGCTTGCTATGTGGTGCAGATCCACACGTGCGCCATGCTAGCATGCATCTATAGCTCGGTGTCGGTGCACGTAACCATCCATGCATGAAACCACACGCATACACGCACATTCACGCGTGTATATGCGCGCGCGTGTCGCACTGCAGCGCAAGGAAAACACATACCCCCCGGGGGGGTTGCATGGACTTCCAGGCAGCCTGTATGTGTTGATGCCTTGGTTGAACTTGGAGCTTGTGTGCATGTTTTGGAAACAAGATATGTGCTTGCTTGTGTAGACGTTGGAAGGGTAGATTATTGGATGTGCTTTCTGGCCATGGCCACATCACCCAAGTGCCCTCCCTTCTTGATTGCCTGGCATCTCAACCAAGGATCACGCGCCTTGCCGTCACCGGTTAGCCAACACGTGCACACTCGTCGGGTGATTTAGAGTACCGGCCAAAGTGGACGTGGTCGATCGCCGTGCTACGAGGTTCGTTCGCAGGAGGGGAAATTGAGCGGCTTGCAGGTAGGTGGGGAAAGAATGGCCAGTAGTACAGAGGGGTTGGGGAAGAGGTGAGATTTGTTCAATGCTGGGCATGCCGCCGGGCACGTATGTTCTTGTATTATTGGATAGTCGCGTAGAGGGTAGCCCCCAAGCCAGGAACATGGCGTAACGGCGGGGGCCGTCTGGACGGGTGAATCACAGTAGCTGGACTGCCAGGCAAGTCGGCCGTTTACCTAACATACGTTACAGCACCCAGTGTGCACCTATGGCCTGCTTGGCATGCCTTGGCATGTTGCCTCCTGCCGTTGGGTCGCCGTACACCAGCCTCAGCTGTGGGCGCGCGAACACCTGACGGTTGTCCATGCTTTTGCGTCCAGCGCATGTGCTCCTCCCTATCCCTCCAAGGTCAGTAGCACCCGCCTTGGCAGCACCATCACCTTCGCCGCCTTTGGAGGAGGAGCGAAGGTTGTGTCACCGCAGTGGTAGAGCTGTTCCACATTGGGCTACCCAGTAGCGTCCTCCGTGCGTAGTGTGACCATGCAGGATGTGTGGAGCTGAGGTTGGAGTGCAATGTGAAGGCTACGCCTTTTTATCATACCCGTGTCTGTCAACAGTGTGATTGAACCCTGGCTGGTTTGGTTAACACCTCTTCCGCATGCCGTATGTGCTGACACCAAGGCGGGTATAGCCTGGACAAGCACACCCTTGCATGTTGGCACCTTGTGTTCCTTGAGAATGTCTAATTTGACGTAAAACACGAGGCGTGGGCCCTATGCTTTGTGTCGTACAGGGGCTCGTAGCCTTTATGTAGCGTGCCAAGTCCTTCCTTGACAAGGACCCAAGCCAGCGGATTTAGCTCAGTTGGGAGAGCGCTAGACTGAAGATCTAGAGGTCGCTAGTTCGATCCTGGCAATTCGCAGGCTGCCAGCCTTCCTTGGAGGAGGAATACCTGTCCAAGGCTTGGGTCCCGCTTTTGCACCGCCCGGAGTGCTTGCGGTCCTTTTGCAGACCTCCTGGGGCCGTCTTGCCGCCTCTTCCAACGGCCTACGCAAAGGCGGCCAACCAAAAGGCGCAATATTGCAGCATATTAATAGGTTGCAACACAGACGGCAGCTTGCACCATAAAACAGGGCTACAGGGGATGCGGTGCGCCTATGCACCACGGGGACATGTCGACACCCCGCAGGAACATATATAACATGCCAACATACCGCACACAAACGGTGTCGGCACACCGAAGGAACATG